AATATTGAAGCTGTGGATGTTGCTAAGCGGCTTCAGGATTATGGTGAGATATTTTTTCTTCTTCTTTTCTTAACCACTTCTTCATTTTGAATGCTACACATTTCACAAACAGCAGAGATGTGATATTTTAATGCTGCTGCAGGGTGACTACAGAAAGAGAAAGCTGCTCATGGCTGCTGCTGTTTTTCTTTGCATCAAGAGGAAAGTAGAGGCTTTAAGCAAAATCCACAAATGCATATATTTATTTCATATTGTCTTTATAAAGCAGATTAGCTCAGAGATTGATCTAGCGGGGGATAGATGGTTAGGATGTTTTCTGACTGTTGAGGTTCATTGTTTTAAACATCAAGTGAACAATTAGAATTCATGTTTCCTAGGATTCCATGCTCCAACCATGTCCTGGCCAGTAGCTGGGACCCTCATGATAGAACCAACCGAGTCTGAAGATAAAGCAGAACTAGACAGATTTTGTGATGCCATGATTAGTATTCGACAAGAAGTAGCTGATATAGAAGAAGGAAGGATGGATACTAGAGTTAACCCCTTAAAGGTAAGCTCAGGAGGGTTTTATTTATGTGAGACTTCTACCAGGTGCTCCTTGTTCAAAATTGAAATAGTTTGACACAAAACATGGGTGAGGGCTCCTTTCCTTTTGCGCATTCTAAACTACATTTCTTTTGACTTAGATGGCCCCACATACTTTGACCTGCCTGGCTGCACCCAACTGGGATCGCCCATATTCTAGGGAAGTAGCTGCTTTTCCACTAGTAAGTAATGAGTTATAATTTCACAAATATATTTTGAGCAATTATTTTATTAGAAATGTTCTGGTCAGATTTTAAAAACCAACAATATGTTCCCTCCAGATGTGCCAAAAAAACTCTAGTGGGTATTTGAAAACCAGACAACCCATGCTCACCTTACTGCATTCAAAGAGTTTTCTTTGGGGCTGCTATAGAGGAAAAGTATATGATTTTTTTCTGTTTTGAAAGATGTCCATCATGATCAAGTGTAAAATTAGAACAGGGGTGTCAAACTCACATCGTCATGGCGGTGTCATATTATGTACTGGAACTTTTTCCCCCTCCACTATATCGCAGATGGTCTGTATATGGGGGAAGTTTCTAGGCCAGAAAAAAACCCAGCAGAGCATAGTACAAATTTAACAAAAAAGTATAATGTAGCTTATTTTCTATGTTTGAGTCCTATCTACTGTGGCTCAAACTGCCTTTTTGAGGTGATGCTTCTATACATACTGGAAATATTTGCTCAAGTATTTTTGAGCAAATATTTCCAGTATTAAAGAGAAACAAAAGAAGTAATTCTGCAAATTTTCAGCAGTCTCAAGTTTTTTCTCTCAAAACAAACAAAAACCTAGGCTTCCTAGCAATAACTGGTAAGTTTAAAAGCAGTATGTTGCAGTCAAGAGGTATTGATGAAAAGGACTGTTTCCACCACAAGAAGTGAAATAAAGAAGTAAACGCTGTTTTGTTTTGATCTGGTTTTCATTTATTCACATTTCAGCTCCTACAAGAATCTGACAAAACCTTTGTACCAACAAGAAAATGATGTCCAAAGCAAAATAAGGAACATCTATGGAGATTCTGTCATCCAAGTCATGGTTGTCCCAAAAGTGCTTTTCAAAAGGCAACCGGTCTTTGTTTTTTCCCTGAAAATATTTCACTTCTCATCCAAAAAGCTTCTTCAATTCTCAGTTGAAGTTCAGAACTGAAGAAGCTTCTTGGACGTGAAGCAAAACATCTTCAAGGAAAAAACAAAGAAAGTCCAGTTGCCTTTCGAAAAGCACCTTTGGGACAAAACAAGGAACATTTGGTTTAAACTATAGTGGTTGTCCTGACCAAGAGGAGGGCCATAGTTATTAGTGGAAAGGCTAGATGTAGAGACTTATTGGGATAGGGAATTGGAAGGTGTTATGTGGGAAACCTGCAAGTGGCTCATCAGCCCAATTACTTCCATCCTCCGGTACTTCTGAAAAAGCCCAAAATGGTAATTCTGAAATTCAACAGCAAAACAGTTGTTTCACTAGTGCAACCTGGGATCATTTATGGTGGCGTATGAAGGTTCAAAATGGAAGTTTGGTTTTCCATTTTCATTTCCATCCTTATTTTGGACAACCAACAAAAAAAAATATGCTGCTGAGTTTCATTGGCAGAATATTTTGAGTGCTGGGGTGAAGCGCAGAACGCAGGGTAACCTAACCTGTCTTTAAAATAATGAGTAGAACAACTTCAAATCTCTCAAACTCCTGGCCTAGTCACGGAAACACTTCCAAAAAATTCAAAAGAAAAAGAATCCAGATAGCATTTTTCCAAATCATGTAGGGCTTACTATCAAAACCTTGCCTTGAAAGCTTTCCTTGATGCATTTTACTGCCTATCTTTTTTTAATGTACACAATCATATTGTAATTACTAATTTTTGTTGTTTAGATGTTGTACCATATAGCTTTTCTAAATACTCCTTTCCTCTTCTTTAGCCGTTTGTGAAACCTGAAAGTAAGTTTTGGCCTACAATTGCCAGAATTGATGACATCTATGGGGACCAGCATCTGATCTGTACCTGCCCACCAATGGAGGTCTATGAGTCTCCTTTTGCAGAGCAGAAGAGAGCATCATCTTAGGACCAGCTTCCTTCCAGCCTTTGAATTACCTTTCAGATCACTGGGCTTAATTTTTCTCACTGTATTTGTAGCACTCTGTGAAGACAGGTGAAATCTTCAGCCCAGTTAGCATATTTTATATACAGTGTATATTTTTGAAAACTCCATGCTGTTAATTACATTTCTGTGCAGCTATTTGTAAAATACTTTTATTAAGCGGCAATTGATTTGATACAGTGCCTCAGTTTCCATGTCAATCCATGCTGAAGTGGCCTTAATTAAGGCCCTCTTTTCTATCAGGGCTGCTTTTCTGTGATTTAATAATAAGCATTGAACTGTATGAAAAAAAGCAATACAGTACACTGTTTAAACAGTGTCATGACTATGCACCTGCTCGTCCAAATGCTCTGTGATATAGAATTAACCCCAATTTTTTAGGACAGTTTTATAATGTATTTCCTTTGTATATGGGCTAAGGTAAAATGGAGTTACTGTTCATTTTGTATGAAATGAAGTCATGGACAACCATTAACACAGTTTGATATGGTCGAATGCAGGTGGCTTTTTAAAAAAAAAGTATGTACCACACTCTAGATTATGGCAATGTATCTTTATTGTTTATAATTATATGTTCTAGAACTGGTATTTTTTAAATTTTCTCTTGTTAATGTTCCAATTAAAAACTAGCTGGCTTCCCAGTTTTTGAAGTTTGCTTTCAATCCGTTTGGCAAAAAACAGGTCACTTTCTTCAGAATATGAACTATAACTCTAGCCAAACAGGCACAGGACACTTGGCTCAGCAGTATTTACGATCTCACACACCCTATCTTAAGTGAGCCATTTTGAGAGACTTTGCTAGGGCTGAAATGATTACACTTGTGAGAACCAAAGGTTGCCTGCAGGATTGCTAGCATTAAGCTTTCTAATACATTTTGTTCTGATACAGATATTTAAAGGGCACATTGTTTGGCAAATGAGAAAGCCCAGTTCTCTTTTAGGTTAATTATTGAGGAATATTTCTTAATCAGTCAGCCATTATCTGTAAAACTGACTTAACTCATTCAGTGCAAGACTAATTCCCAGTTTCTTTGTTACAGTTCTGTAGACTGGCTTAAGGCCTAACCAATGAAAGCCACAAATACAAACACACACACACACACACACAACCATGCGGGTCAGACACACTTCTCACAATATGAGTTCCTATAAATCTTGGTGTAATGTGGTCTGATCTGGGACAGTGCTATCACAGTAGTTATGAATTCAATCAATTATAATATGCTACAGCAATTAAATGCAAGTGCAACAATCAGAATTTATTATTTGAAATTAAAGGATGAGAGTACCTCCTTTACAGCACACATCAAAAGCACATAACTTTAAAAAGCTATCTCACATTGAACAAAGAGATGCCCACAACTGTCAAGAGAATTCCAATTTGAAGACATTGATGGCAAGCTGACTACTATGAAAATCGCCTCAAGAGATGTTAAAAAGAACCACAAAACACCCCATTTAGTGTGGTGCTTCCCACCTCTGGTTTCAGAGAAGCTTACAGGGATAGGAAATGAATGATAAAGTGCCTCCTATATATGATAATGCTAGCAACAAATTATTTATGGGGAAAAAGTCTCCTTTAATGCTCCAATAGACCAGGAGGTTGTAATTTTTCAGAAAATGAACTTGGGATACTCTCTTACTCTGTAACAGCAAACTGTTCTAATGTATCAGAAAAACGATCAACATTTTATTAGCAGTTCATTAGCATTATTTGGTTATTATTTTGGCTAACTTTAGCACAGGATAGCTAACTTAGGAAACATATACTGGTAGATTAAAAAAATATTCCACCTTTATTATTTTAAAAAATAACTTAAGGTGGCAAACATACCTAATATTCCTTTCTCCTCTTTATTTTTGCCGCAACAACCCTGTGAAATGAGTTGGGCTGAGAGAGACTGGCCCAAAGTCACCCAACCAGCTTTCATACCTAAGGTGGGACTAAAACTCAATTTTCTGGTTTCTAGCCTGGTGCCTTGACCACTAGACCAAAGTACATTTTGTACATTTTGAAGTAGACACGGTAAGGTCTTGCACAAGCCAAAAAGAAGTTGTGCTTTGTTTATGCTTAGTGGGGTGCACAAAACTGGTTGTTGTGCCTCCTAGGCCATGACTTATGACAGGGAGCAGAAAAGGGCAATTGCCCTCCTCCCAAAATTATTTTATTTCAGCATTTTTAAAATTCTGACATCTTGCATGAAAATCCCAACATGTAATTCACCCAAATTTTCACAAATTTCCAGCCACCTCAAAGTAATCAAAATTCCAGAAAATTTGACATTTTTAATTTTGTGATAGGAGGCAGCAGTGTACTTGGGCCATTGTGTCTCTATTAAAATTAACTGTACTCTGGTTTAAACACAATGCTAATTTACAGGTTTAATATTTATGAGTAGAGGGCGTAAGCTCATGCCCATAATATGTGACTTGGGTTTCAATCAGTTTGTGGTTAATATTAACTATTATTACAAAATAAGCAAGGATTTTTGATTAGTTTGAAACTGGTTTTCTAGATAAAAGCTGGAGAATTGACTCTCCCAATTTTATTCCTCATCATGGAGGTCCAATTGACATGACAAATGGGGCTCAGAATCCAGTATAGGCAGGCTGGGTTTCCAGGGCATGAAAAGATTAACCTTTATCTAGGCTGAAGATATACTCACTAGCCATGACTGAAAGCCCAAAAGAAGTTTTTAATCTCACAGCTCACTCAGGAGACTGCTATTGCTGCCAGAGAAGCTAAAACTATTTATGAAACTTTGCTTTCTTATCCTGCTTTAGCTGCAAATTTATAAATTCTTATGACTAAAAAGACCATTGGCTGACATAGCAAAATCAATATTTGTGTATCCGAGGGAGAAATAGGAAAGTTCTGCTTTCAATTTTTATCTAACTAGATACCTATTACTATCACAGCTGAAAAATTCTGGTTCATTTAATCTGTGAATAATGCAAATAAGTCATATTTAATTATAGTTTTGTTATCCTGGCTGATTGACTTAAGTATAATATAAATCAACCTGAGTTTTGATACTGGCCCAGTTTATCCATAATGATTTCTGTTTTACTTAGTGTGTTATATGTAAAGTAGGTCTCTATGGCTTCAACCTGTTAAGCAAAACATTCCGACAGTGTTACATGTGAATTCAACATTCATCTTTTAAACTATCCTATTTTAATTCTAATTTCTTTCTGCTAATGGAAAAAGACTGGAATGTAAACTGAAACCAGTTAAATAATGGTAATCCAATATTCAGTACCATACCTAAAACAGACTTGAAATAAAAAAGCTTCAGTTTCAATTTGTAATACAAGAATAATACCAGCTTCCCCACTCAAACAATGCACAAACAACTATGTATATGTTAAAATAGTATGTAAGTACTCAAACATATCTGTTCTGATGTCACTAGTCATTTGCTATCTTATAATCAAAAGTTGATATGAAAATGTAATCTCTCAGAATGAAAGCCTTATAAAAATGTATTTTAAAATATATAACTCTGCAAGGCAAATGCCCAAAGGACTAATGTAAACTTCAGGTTTACTGATCCCATTTATCAAAATTTCAAATGGAATTTTATGTAATATATATAAACACTATTTTAGGAAATCACTTACTATCATGTTATGGGTGTAAAATGCAAACAATCAACACTTTATGAATCATAAAATATTTAATAAGTATATTCAGGGGTGGGGAATATACTGTATATAAAATTTCAGATCACAATATGAAGCAATTTGAGCCCTCTCCAAGCTAGCACTGCTTTCAATGCTGTATAAGATGTATTGCCACTAATACAAGACCTACTAAAAGCAAACAATTTTACCTAATACAAAAGTGGCTTGTTTTATATGAAATAGTTTTTACACAATTAAGAGCGTCTTGAATACCCTCTTTAAGTGCAAAAAACACAAATCACTTTACATCAACAGCAACAATGCATTCATATCGTTCTTAGTCCTTAGTAGTCAACTTGCAGAAGATACCAGAGCACAATAACGTTCACAAAAATAGACTAAAAGCTTGTTGTTGCAAAAGGAGTAAGAAACACAGCAGGAGGGGTAACACAATAAAGAATTATGCATACCACAGCATTTGATGTTCTGCAACAAAACTGGCTTCTTACGTGCTGTTTTCTTGTTGCAAAATCAAATTGCATGGACCAGGCAAAACTAATGCTCAGGAGGCAGTGTGTAGCTAAACTTCATTGGATGTGTTGTTAAACTTCCCCCAAATTTGTTTTCTCCATCTGAGGTAGTTATAAAAACAACTGAAGACCTGCTACTATGGTGGCCAGAGCCAAGAAAAGCCTTTATTCCTGCATACAAACTAATGGTCATCTGTTCAAAACTACCTTTGTGAAAAGGAAGCTGGGAATTTGAAGTTCTTACTACACAATAGATTGCTAACAGGGAAAAAGGGTTGAATTAGCGGCTTCACAATGTGATAGTAAATATGAATTCCCTCAAGATGGCTGGTCCACTGTTTTCCTAGATGGTTTGTTCTTTTAGTTTATTCAGTCATTTGGAGAATAAGGTTACAAATACATATCATCGTCCTTTGCTATAACCAGGGAAGAACTGGTCAAGTAGTGTCTGCAGTATCTTGTTGGGAACCATGGTGTAGCCCTTCCCAAGGTCATGTCGGCAAGCAGGACAGGTGAAGACTTCAGCTCTGAAAGAGCGCTGTAAACAACTCTAAAGTCATGGGAAACATACATATGTTAAAATCCAGTTCACAAGACAGGCATATTACTTAGAGACTACAGCAATATTCAGATGCAGAATATTCTGTGCTTGAAACAGTTCTGGGCAGGCTATGTTTAGATCCAGAATGTGGGTTTGGTCAGCTCATCTTCATGTCTCTTGCAATCGCCTTCCTTCCTTCCCCCCTGCACCTTTGCCTCTGTCTGCTGCCAGTGCCACCATGCAAAGACAAGCCTTCTGCAGCCAGACACCCACTCTGTCCCACTGTTGCTTGGCTTCCCTGCGGCCCATACGGCGCATCAGGGTCGCCTTCCTTCCTCCTCGTGCCTCTACCTCCGCCTGCTGCCAGTACCACCATGGAAAGGCTCTCCCACAACTGTCTGCCTACTCCAGCCCGATTCTCGGCTTTCCCACAGCCCATGCAACAGATCCTGATCACATGCCCCCCCCCCTCCTGTGGCTGCCTGCTGCTTGGACAACTCATCTGAGCTGCATAGGCTGCGGCTATTGAAATATTGGCCCCCGCACCCTCGCCACCTCTGGTGCTGGTGGCCCACCCACCCACCACAGCTGATGGGGCTTGTTTTTGGGGTAGGGCTTATATTAGGAGCATGCTTAAAAATCAGGCTAGGGTTTATTTTCAGCTTAGGTCTTATTTTCAGGAAAACACGTTAACAGATAAACAATTAATCTCCATTCAGGATTTGGAAGCATTTAACATATTGAACTGAACACCATCTTCAAAAGTATATAGAAAGTATATATTTTGTTTTCATTAAAACAGTCAAAAGATTATTTCATAAATGTAATTATAATCTAAAATTATGCCTGAATTATTTTCTGGTTCAGGAACTATATAAAAACATTGAAGACTTACCAAAAAAAAACTTGAAACTGTTATCTTTAAAAATAATGAATTGAATAATTTTTAAGTGTTATTTTTAACACTTAAAATTATTCAACTCATTATAGCATAAGGCCTGATGAAATTGTCTTGTCCAAAAGAATTTTACATTGCCGTACAATGTTAGATTGTACCATGCCACAAGATCCTTCATTGTTTTGTTCGCTGCACTATGAAACTTATTGCAATAAACCAGGTCACAGATATATCTGTTCGATATACTCATAATCTTACTGTTTGAACTAAATAATAATATTCATTAACTTGAGATAACTACTGACTTATTGCATATGCTTACCTTAACAGCAGCACAGAATTTTTCTTCTTTAAAATATCAGTTTATTTATTTTTACAAGTTACAGTAGGACAATATGAAAATGATCCATGGGACACTTACTTTACAGACATTGTGCAGGCACTCTGTGGTCACTGGCTGGTAAACCAGCTCCTGGCAGCAAACACACATAAAGGATTGTTCCAGTTTCTTCAAAAAATTCTAGGATGGGATAAGGGAAAAATAATTAAGTCAAATGCTGAAGTGCTTTCGAACTCTTCATAAAATAGTATTGTTTCTATATTAATCCAGACTTCTTTTCAGGCCTGGAATATAGTATACTTCAAATACTATATTTTAATAAATATACTACATATTAGCCAAATTGTGTTTTCACTCCCTGCAGCTCCTCATGCACTCTGGATGGTGAGGAAACTTTCCAGAAAAGCTGCAGGTAGAACTAAGTCCTTGTTTCAGTGAAAATCCAGTGGCATGACATTAAAAGGAAACAGTGCAGAACACTGGTTAAAATAAAAAACAACAACATACTGGTCCTTCTTTAAGAAATTTAAGAACTTCATCCCAAAGTTTCTGGTTTGGAGAGTCTTCCTGTATCAACCATTGTTGTTGCTGCGTTAGCTGAAAAGCTTCTCCCTTCCCTCCATCACTCAGCTTCATCGTTTTGGCTGTGTTTGTAGGTTGCTTTATATTGTCTGGAAAAAATATTATCAAACTACAATTATAAATTTACACTGGTGCCTTCAACTACAGGTACAGGCTTACTTATTAGATTTACCAGAAAATGTAAAATAACACCCAAATAATCTTAAATTAAAAACTTTCTCCAAAACATACATCCTCTGTTGTACTCATGTTTCCGGTTATTTTGAATGTAATATATTATATTAGCTCTATACCTGTGTTTCGCTATGAAATTCTGTGATTGGGTTTAGTTTTGGGGGAGGAAAATAAGGGGAAAAATATGTGCCTCTGCCTACTAGCATCCATCGGTATTCATCTGGCTAGAGTCCTGTCAGTGTGTGAGAGAATTGAGGGCTGTTTGGAAACTGAAACATGGAAATTGAAACAGTATTTGTTGTATGAGCAAGAAGGAGACAGCAAGGAGCCTGGGCGTGGCTTACCTCAACTGTTCTGTAGTAAAGCTGGTTGCTGCTATGAAACTAAAATTGGAACTCCTCTCTTCTGCTTGTGTTTTGCATTTGGAACAGATTTCTTTTCAGGTGGGGAGGGAGAATAGAACTCCTTCACATCAGTGTGTATTAATAATAATATACAAAATACTAATGCTCTGACGATCATTTCTAGGTGAGCACCTAGAAGCCAAGAGGAACATACGTGCCAAATTTCAAGTTTGTAGGTTTTACAGTTCTGGAGATTTTGTGATAATGCATGAGTGATATTTCGCTTTTATATATATAGATTCTGCAAATATGTCCAGCTTACAACCCAATATTTGCAAAGATAGTTTTTAACACAACTAGTGATACAGCGGCCCTCAACCTTTTGGGCAACAGGGACCGGTTCCGTGGAGAGAGGAGGGGGCGTGGTTTCTGCAGATTGGGCTTCATTTGTTTGCATGGCCCAGTTTCTGGCATGCCTCAGAATGGTACTGGTGCATTGACCGGGGATTGGAGAATCCAGGTCTGACAGAAAGTAATTGTTTTTCTTTTAAAGATACTTTAACAGAAAAAGTAGAATTTCCTTTTTATGAGGGATAAATTTCAAGTAGCTCACCACAAGTAAAACAGTATGATATTTTATTCAAATCTTAAATATTGAAATAAAACTCATTCTTAAAATATGTCCGTTTGTGTAATTACTGCACCAGCAGCATCCATCCTTAAGGGAAGCCCTGGCATCTCTATGGGAATGTTAAGGTTTGCAGAAGCAGAAGAAAAATAATGCAGGGAATTGCAAGCAATCCAGTAAAGAATGATTGGACACAGAATGCCAACTTATTGGAAAATTCAGAATGAGGAACCAGGATGGAGTATCTTAAAATAAATTATGGCTAGCAAACTGAAGAGGAACCCTGCATATGATAACAATTATGATAGCAAGCTACAAGCAAACATTTTTACAGTGCTAAGAAAACATTGTCCTGACCTGAAAAGAACATGTATTTATTGACTGTTTTCTAGCCAAGTTATACCTATGAAATTGAAATGACACTCAGTGCCTCTTGGAACAGCAGATCTATGGTCTCAAATTTCTTGTCTTTTTCATTTACCAGAATTTAATGCACTCTAAAACTATACACTTTGGATGAAACTTGATTCCTAATTAATCTATTTTCATTTGAAGCCATTATTTATAAATCAGGGGTGTCAAACTCAAGACCTGGGGGTGCTTAGATCTGGCCCGCAGGACCACCCTGGAAACAGCAAAGGACTGGCCTGTGGTATCTCTGCTAATTTCTTTAAGCTGAAAGATGTTTGATGGGATCCAGAGAAATTATGTTTCAATATGGGTTGAAATATCTTATCTATCTGATAACTAATGTATTAAAGTTACTAGACATACCATCATTAATTGGTCTTTTCTGATTTCCATTGCTCTGTTCCATTTGTTCCTGTTTCACAGGCTGCTTTTTTACTTTATCTTTCTTTTCTTTATTTGCCATAGCTTCCCAATAGCCTTCTGGGTACTACAAAAGAAGAACATCACATCTGAGAAGTATTTTCAGCAATGCTTGCATCAAAACAAGAGCATCTGGAATAGCAGTATGTTCATAAGATCCATTAGTTCAAAGACAACTCCAGTGCTCGAAGGGGAGCCCCCCCCCAAAAAAAAGTATAATCGGAGTTAACTAATTCATAAAATGTCATAATTTCCTTGAGGCCCAAGATGAATCCTGAGCCTTTATTTCTAACTATAACAAATAGACTGGTTGAAATTACCAGGTTTCCTCTTTGGTAAGGAATCAAGGGCTGTTTTCCTTTTTCTATATTTTATCAATTGATCTAGGAATCCAAATATTAACAAATGAAGTAAGTGCTAAGTTTATCTACTTCAACACATTTTAAATTGGGAGTGATTTGTATTTGAAGGATAGTAAGCCATATATCTCAGTCTCTGGATTTTCTGACGAACTAAGGATGTGTGATCAACAGTTTCTGAGCCATTTATTGCCAGGAATGGCAGTTAGGATAAAGATTTATATACTTTATATACAGTTAAGGAGCAGAAATTTTCTGATATAAACTGTTCATTCCCATCTAAAAACCATCTCAAAATATGAAAAAGGGTCCTCAACTATACTGTCAAAATTCAGCCATTTGGTTACTGAATTTCAATCATTACTTTAAAATTATGGGACCAGAACAAAAATGTAGTCCATGTGTAGCCTATACATTGTCACCTTCTCATCTTCATGAAATAAAGTATGGACTTCTGAACATTATACAGAAAATATAATCCAAGCCACCTAACATCTTTAAAACAAATCTGAAGAAAATCTTCCAAGAGAGCTTCAGCTGAGTATCGACTAGCTTATCTGTTTTAGTAAAACATAAAAACGATGGCAACATTAAGTTCTAACCTGTAAACTCAAGCCCAATTTCTTGGACCGGTCTATTCCCTCCGTAGTCCAAGGTGCAGGTTCAGCATCATCTCTTCTCAGGAGATAGCGCCAAACTAAAAATCCGCATTTTCCAATTTCTGGCCAATATTTCACCACCTGAATTATAAAGTATAGACTGACTGCTTAGAAAACCTTTCAAATATTTGAATCTAAAATGTTTAATCTAAGGTTGTCATAAAGAATTTCCTAAACTTAACTCTACAAAGGT